TCGGAAGAAGAGTGAAGAAGAAAGTGAGTGGAAATGGAATGGTTGCGTTGATTATAGAAGCCCTTCTCCAAGAGTTTAGAAACAAAGGGGAGGAGATATGACATGATGGCTCTAAGATGGATCAAGCAAGGGTTTTTTGAATATGGAGGAGACACGGAAAAGTCTGTACCTGGTAGAGAAGCATCTGGTAGAGAGGGAGAGGTTGAAGGTAAGTGAAAGAGTGGGGATGATCTATTGAGCAGTTGGAGAAGATTGGATAGAATAGGATTACTTGTGCATATGGAGGGGTTGGCCTTGGCAAGGAAAAGGACCACTTCATTGTGTGAGGTATGGATGAAGGAGGAGACAGTGGCAGAAGGCATCTGGGTGATGTGAAATGAAGACGGGAAGAAGAGGGAGCTGTTGGCAAATGACCTCAACTTTTTAAATAAAATATGAAGTAAGGTTCTCAGCTGAGAAGGTTGGGGGGGAAGTCATGGGAGACTTAAGGAATGATGAAAAGGTTTGTGAAAGCCACTGTGGTGAGTAGGATAATGAGTCAATTAGGGAAGTGTAAAAGGATTGCTGCATTGAGGGCCCAGTTGAGATTATGTCTTGTAAGGGAAACTGAGGAGGATAGATCCTCTCCAGCCCCCTGTATAACCATCTCATGACCTAACAGTGTAACTGCCTCATGACCTGACATAAAGATAGATGGGAGTTACCATGCATGGCCAAAGGTGACCGTGGAGATGAAACTTAAATAACCAATAAGCTACGTTACCTGGGAAAGCAATATATCTCAAGGAACATTTTTCTTGAGAAAGGTGTGTAACTGTCCAAGGAATTGATCACTCCTTGGAGACCTACACAACAAACAGGTATTTGCGCTCTGATTAAGCCCCAACTTTTGTTAGAGATGTGTGCGTGCCTGGACATGAGCTCACCAAGGATACATACACAAAACAAAATATCAAGATTGTCTTTCCCTGGTTTACATAGATATAAAAGGGGTCATTTGGAAAGGGATTTTTGGAGACTTTGATTTCAGAGACAGGGACGCGGAATCTCTGTTGTGTTCAGAAGCGGACCTCATGCACGGCTTCTGTTGGGTAGAGGCGGGATGCTACTCCGTTGGCCTCCCTGACCAGACCTCTTGACCATTTTCCAGTCTCCCTGGTCTATTAGGTATTTGAGCTCACCTGGTCAGTGAGTGTGTATCCTTTCTTTTCTTATTCCTACTTTCCTTTATGTTGATTGTTACTTATTGCATTGAATATTATTCTTACCTTTATTGCTTGTGTGGTTTTTAATCATTATTAATCATTGTAAAGTAAATGTGATTATTTGTTAAGTTTATTCTGAGCACGTGTCATTATATCTTAAGATCTGAACCTAAATTGAATCTGTGCAGTATGTAATCCTTTCGATTATGTCTTGATTGAGATTATGTAACATATATTTGTGGAGTAGCTAGGTGGTGCCATAGTGTAAAGAGCTCTGGGCCTGGAGTCAGAAAGACTCAGTTTCCTGAGTTCAAATCCGGCTTCAGGCACTTATTAGCTATGTGACCCTGGACAAGTCACTTAACCGTTTGCCTCAGTGTCCTCATCTATAAAATGAATTGGAAAAGGAAATGGCAAACCACTCCAGTATCTTTGCCAAGAAAATCCCAAAGGGGGACACAAAGAGTTGAACAAAGACTGGCCAATAACAATGAACAGATATTTGTAATGGATCCAGTTAGTATAGCTCTGTGATTTTCTCCAGCTTCATTGAGCAGCACATCAGTAGAAGTGAAGGCAATGGATGATGGGAGTAATCCAGGGTTGAGGTTTTACAGGGCAAGATCTTCAATAGGCTAAGTAGGCAAGGAACTTGAGAGAAGACAGAGTTGAGTTGAACTGGTTCTACAAGGGGTCAAGATAGGGAAGGGAAGAGAGTATAGTTAGTGTGGGGATGAAGGCCTTGGAAAGAACTAAGGGGTCAAGAGATTGAAGCTCATGATGAGGGCAAAGAACAGGGTTTAGGGTTCTAAGTCAGAGGGAGGGGTGGAATGACAACAAATTGTGATCACATAAAGGGAATTTCCAAATTCATAGACACGGAAATGGTACATTTGTGGGTCATGGCAAGATCAAGGCTATGACCATCTTTATGTAGCTGAGGTGGAGTGAAGGAGTAAGTCAAAGGACTAAGCAAGGTGAGGAACTGGGGGATAAGGCGGTTTGGAGGAATATTGATGGGGGTTGGAGTCCCCTAGTACAGAGCTTCTTAAACTTTTTATACTAGCAACACCTTTAGCACTTCTTAAACTGTGGGTTGAGACTGTGTGAGGGAAGGAGTTAGGAAGGAGAGAAAGCCTTCGAGGCAGACACTGAATTCACTGAGGAAAGAAGGGGACTGTCCTGAAGGTGAGTAGGCAACAGCTACCAGAATTTTGATTGGGTGGTAGACATGGATTGAGTGAACTTCAAAGAATGAAAGGTTATTAATTGATAGAGTTAGGAGGAGAGCCTGGAAGTGGCAATGGAGAGCAAGAAATATTCTAACTCTTGCAATGCAACCAGTGATGGAAAGGGTGGCTAGGGAGGGTGTGTCATCAAGAGAGAGCCTGGTCTCAGTGAGAGCCAAAAGATGAAAGGAGTGGGAAAGGAAAAGGAAAAGGAAAAGATTTAAGATGAAAGCAAATTTGTTACCAGTGCTCTGAGTATTCCAGAGAGCACAAGTGGAAAAGATGGTAGCTTTAGAGTGTGACATTTGAAGAGCAGTCAGGTGGAGGGGGATGGGCATAAAGGAGTGGACAGTAGGGGGCAGAGAATGGGGTTTGTCTTATAATGGTTAGAAGTTCATGATCACTGAGATCTGGAGGGTATGACTGGGCAAGAGTTTATTAGTGTTAGAGAGAACAGGCATGTCAATTGATGTAAAATTTCAAAAATAATTTTACCATAATTTCTTTAATCTGTGTAAATGCCTTTTAAATATAAATAATTAAAAATATATAATTTTACTTTGAAATAAAATTTATCATCCTACTATCTCTATTTTCTTTGCTGTATGGATTTAAAAAAGTGTTCTGCATTAATTGCTGCAGCTTGGTCTCTCAAAGTCTTCTTAATTTCTGGTCCTTCTACTAATCATTTCAGAATGAGTTCAGGAGGGTTAGTAACGTCACCAGGTGTTTGGTCTCAGGGTTTTGTCTTCTAAGGTTCTGCTTACTTCATTTTGCATCAGCTTAAAGAACTCTTCTCAGGTTTCTATGAATTTATCACTTTCCTTATGTCTTATGTCATTAAATTATTCCATTACAGTCACATACCATATACCTTTGTTCTCAAAAGGAAAGGGGGAGACAGACCACAAAAAGTCCCTTTCCACAAATGAATGTTAGCAAGCATATTTGGACTCAAGATTAAAAGGAAAAGGGGAGTCTTCTCTACCATAATCATTGACTTTCAATGGCCAACAAGATCACTGCTTAGCTCCTGGCTGCCTACCAGTAGCTTCCGTAGAGTCAATATCCAAAAGATTGGTAGGTTAGGTCAAATCTAAGAAGATTAACTCTGATAGGAGGAAAGTTCTGCACTGGGGTTCAAAAAAGCAATTGCACAAATAGGGGATGGGGAAGGCGTGGCTAGATAGCAATTTCTGTGGTGAAAAAGATCTTCAGGTTTTAGTAGGCTGAAAACATGGTAAGAATCAAAATCACAATGTAGTATACAAAAAGCTAGTTTGATCTTAGCCTGAGTTATTGTGTGAGAAATATAGCATGAAGAATGAAGAACGTGGCGGTCCCACTGTACCTTCTCCTTTTGGATCAAGTCTTTATCTCTGGACTCTGGGAATTGGCATAGGCCAAGCCCCCTTATCTGGAACACTCTCCTTCCTCATCTCTGTCTCCTGGTTTTCTTGGCTTTCTTCAAGTCCTAGGTCAAATATCACTTTCTATGGGGACCTTTCCTGATCCTCCTTAATCCCAGTCCCTTCCCTCCAGTGGATTAACTCCTATTTATCTTGTATGTAGCTTGCTTTGCATATATTTATTTGCATATTGTCTTCCCTATTAGACTGTGAGCTCCTCAAGGGCAGGAATTGTCTTTTCCCTCTCTTTGTATCCTCAGTACTCAGCACAGTGCTTGACACACAGTATGTGCTTAACAAATGTTTATTGACTGATTGACTATGCTCAGTTCTGAAGCCATGTTTTAGGAAGGCCTTTGACAAGCTAAAGAATGTCTGGAGGAAGGTGACCAGGATGGTGATGGGTCTGGAGTCCATGCTGTCTGTGGATTGCGGGTGTATAGGTAGGAGAAGAAAAGACAGGAGGATATAATAGTTGCCTTCAAGTATTTGAAGGACTTCGTGTTTGTAGGACCTCAAACTAGTTTCCTTCCTTCTGTGGGACTCAGTTTTGTCATCTGTGAAATGAGAGAGTTGAGTTGGACTCTCAGCCAGGTTTTTTTTTTGTTTTGTTTTTCTTTTTGGCAAGACAATCGGGGTTAAATGACTTGCCCAGGGTCACATAGCTAGTAAGTGTCAAGTGTCTGGGGCCAGATTTGAACTCAGGTTCTCCTGACTCCAAGGCCGGAGCTCTATCCACTGTACCACCTGGCTGCCTTCACAGACAGTATTTAAGGTACCTTCCAGCTCTATATTATATGATTTCTTGGGCTTGTGGGATTTATTCTGCTTGACCCCAGGGGCAATGGAGGGAAGTTGTAGAGAGGCAGATTTATAACTTTCTAACTATTAAAGCCCTCCAAAAGCGAAATGTGCTTCGAAAAGTAGTAAGTTCCCCAACCCTGTCATTGAAGTCTGCAGATTCAGTTGTCAGGGATGCTGTAGGAGGTTGCTTCTTTAGGTAGAGAAGTCTCTGAGACTTCTTTTTGGCCCAGAGAGTCTAGGCTCTTCTTTCTTCTTCTCTTCCTCCCAGTAGACATCCTGAATGATTGCTTCATCCATCCTCTGACACCATGTCCTGTGAGGGTATGGGCGGGGAGAGGTGGGAGAGTGAGTCAGACAGGCAGGGAAGATTAGCTGATGCCAGGACCATGGAAGGGACAGAGGATATTTATGTAAATGATGAGTTGGCCCCCAAGAAGAGAGTCAAGAAGAAAGAGGTCCCAGCAGGTAGCACCAATGGGTGAAAGTGGGGGTGGTGGTAGTGGTGAGGTCTCCTTGGAGGATATGACTCTGCAGGGACGGGGGACAGGGAAACTGAAGGCTAGGGGGCTGGAGCCTTGCCATGATTGAGGGTGTATCTCTCTGTCTCTGCCTTCTCCATATACCTCTATGGATGACATGCAGGTACCCAGAGATCTTCCCTTTAGCCTGCTCTAATCTAAGCCTCGGGTTCATTTCTTCCAGAGTCTGGGAGTAAGGTGGGCTCCAGGATGCCAGAGGGAAGACATTTTAGGTAGAAGGAGAGATTTGAGGCTTGATGGGGAGAGAAAGAGAGGAGGGTTCTGGAAGTTGTGATGTCTATGTTCCTTTAAAAAAGTTTGTATTCTGAACTTAGGAAACACCAAATAAAATGAAGATTTTCATATACAAAATAGAACAGAAAAAAGAGGATTGTTCATGAAACCCCAAACTCCTATTATGCGCTGCTTGCTTTTCCTTTTAAGTATACAATGAAATCGACATGTGACTAAAGCTGCCCTGCTTGTCTGTGTTTTCTTCTGGCCTTCCTTCTGTTCTCTTCCAGGCATTTAAAAATTGCTTCCATGAACCACTTTTCCTTTTCCTTTTTGATGACTCTGTTGCTAGTCCCCACCATCTCCTCCAATTCCCCATCTCTAGCTTAAAAAAAGAAAAAGAAAACCAAACTCTCGTAACAAATGTACACAGTGAAACAAACCACATTCATTTGTTGGTTGTGTCTGAAAATGTATGTTGTTCTATTTCACAAGTCCGTCGCCTCTGTGTCAGGCAGCATGATTCATTAGGGAAGCTTCAGAATCTTGGTGGGACGTCCGGGTTCTTCCAGAGGATGACAAGTGAGGCCTGGTGCTGAGAAATAGGATGCCTTGGTTCTGTGAACCTCTAAAGCCATTGTCTGCTCCCTCCAGGTGCCCAAAGATTTAGAAAGGAGGATGACCCTGACTATGAGAACATCTCTGTGATCACATGGAAGCGGAATGGGGCTCTGGAGCAACAGTCAATGCCCATCCATTGGGGTAAGGACTCTGCCTTGCCCCTTGTCTCACTTCCCCCACAACTCTACTGGTCTCAAACACAGGCTCATCTTAGGGACAGATGGGTCATTGTGGGATGGACAACGTTGGTTAGGGTTGTAGGCAAAAAGAAAACAATCTCTGCCCTCAGGGAGGGGGGAAAACATAGACTTCATATATGTTTTCTATTTGTGTGTATTTGTACATGTTTCCCCAATAGAATGTAAGCAATTTGAGGTCAGGGAGTATTTTGCTTTTGTTTTGTATCCCCAGGACCAAGTGCGGGTCCTAGCACATAGTAAGTAGTTGCTTAATAGATACATATCGAAAGAATGAAAATAATACAAAAAATAATTTCTGAGAGCAAGGGCAGCGGCTGGGGTGGGGGTGGGGAGGGGATCAGGAAAGGCCTGATGTAGGGGGAGGTGACATTCGAGCTGAGCTAGGAATTCTGAGAGGTAGAAGGCAGGAGGGGAATGTGTTCCTGGCATGGGGGACAGCCCATGCAAAGGCGTGGAGATCAGAGAGGGAATGTCCTGGACAAAGTGCAAGTTTAGCTGGAATGTAGAAGGCAGGAAGGGGAGGAATGTATGATGAACTTGGATAGGCTGGAGTTAGATTATAAAGGGATTAAATGCCAGACAGAGGAGTTTAGATTTGGTCTTGGAGGTAGTAGGGAGCCCTTGAAGCTCCTTGAGTAGGGTGGGTAACATGATTAGATCTGTACTTTAGGAAAAACCACTTGGGTAGTTGTGTGTGGGATGAAATAGAGTAGGGGAAGACATGAGTCAGGGAAAGCAACCAGGAAGCTATTGCTATAGCCCAGGGAGAGGTCATAAGACCCTGAACTAAAGTGGTAGATGTGTGAGCAGAGAGGAGGGATGTGGCAGATGTGAAGTTAGAATGGACAAAACCTAGGAAGATTCGAGTTCAAATCCTGCCTCAGACATTTGTTAGCTCTGTGACTCTGGGCAAGTTACTTAGCCTTTCCAGCCTCAGTTTCCTTATCTGTAAAATGAGGAGTTGCACTCTATGATTTTATGATCCTATGAGGGAGAGAGATGGAAGGGTTGAGGCTGAGCTTTCAAACCTAGATGACTAGAAGAAAGGTAGTGTCCAACAGAAATAGGGGCATTAGCAGGAGGGTTGGGTTTAGAAGGAAAGATAGCTAATGCTTTGGACACACAATTATCCACTATGTAAGAGACCCTGTGCAGGAGACTGGGGAGTCCAAAAACACCTGTCTTCCCTTCAAAGAGCTTACAACCTTATAGGAGAAGGCCCAAACACAAGTAAATATAGTTGATAGGGAAATTGAAATCGGTTCAAAGGAAGGGAGAAGTCGAGGAAGGCTTTCTGGAGGGGCCATTGGAACTGGAGTCTGAAGGCTGGCTAGAAATATGACAGGGCAAGGATGCATATGGGTAGTGCGAACAAGGGCAGAGAAGTGGAAGCCCGTGAGGGGCTGTGTTCAAGGGAGCAGAGAGTTGTCCATTTTAGCTAAATCACAGAGTACTCGGAAGGGATTAGTACAGGACTCATTTCTTCATTTGTGGATTCAGTAAACATGGACCAAATACCTGATCCTCAATTTGGGGATATATTATGTAGGTAGTGTGTGAGGTATTCAGGAGGACTAGCACCTCTGGAACTGATGGAGAGGTCCAGGGAAAGAGCTGTGGGGAAACTGAGAAGGGAGAGATCCTTTTCATTGGAGTCGGGAATGTCAGGGGGAGGCTTCCAGGAGGAGGTTACTCCTGAGCTGAGGATGTATAGAGATTAGAGAATTGGTAAGAATCCAGTGGATGCAGAAGGAGGAGAGGCCATTCTGGGTCCAGAGACTAGTGTGATGAAAGGCAAGTAGACAGTGCGGATGGTCTGGTAAAACCTTGTTGGAGTGTAGAGTCCATGGATGGAACCATTATGAGATTCATTCATTCATTCAACGAACGTTCCTTAAGTGCGCAGCATAATACTCTGAGGCAACTCTCCCACCTCCTATTTCCACTGACTGGCTGGGTCTTGTTACATCCCCATCGAACTCTTAGGGTTTGCCCTGAGGAGATGGGGATGTATTTTTCTAGTGCTATAGTTCACCAGCCTGTACCAGTGTGTTTCCTGATATGATTATCAGTTGATATCATTTAGTCAATCAGATGTGTTTGGCTTTTAGAAAGGGATATTTTACTATGTATAGATAGTTTGGTACGAGTAGTTGGTACAAATCTTTCCCTCAAAGGCTGTGACAGACTTTTCCATAAATACGTACAGAGAGAGTTAAGGGAAAAGTGGGCTCAAACTTAGAGGGCACATTGACAATAGTCAATTAAATTAAGTACCTACTATGCTGCCAGGACTCTGCTAAGCACTGGTGATACAAATATGAAAAAAGAAAGTTCCTGACCTCAGGGAGCTTACTTAGCAAGGGATAGATAACACAGCTTCTTCAGGTCATCTTAAGGAAGTCCTCCTCAGGTATAGTGTGCTGATAAATAGAAGCATGTATAGACATATATACACATATACATCTCTATATATTCATACATCTATATATACACATATATATATATGCATATATGTATATATGAATATTATATGACACCTATTTGTGTCTAATGGTGGTTGTCTCTAGGGCAGGGTGGGGAGAAGAAAAGGCATTTGGGGTTAAGTGACTTGCCCAAGGTCACACAGCTAGTAGTATCAAGTGTCTCAGGTGGGATTTGAACTCAGGTCCTCCTGACTCCAAGGCCTGAGCTCTATCCACTGCACCACCTAGCTGCCCCCAAAAAAGAAATTTACGTGATTATTTTGTTGTATATTTGAAAGAAATAGCAAGTTGTGCATTTGCAATTTCACGCGTAATCATCTTTTTTTATTGTACTGTGTTACAGAAATGCCTTTTCTATTTCATAAATTAAAATAAAACTTAATGTTTTAAAATAAAGTATGGCGTACCTTTCCTGCTGGCTTCTTTGTAAAGCCTTGGACCTGCTTTCCTCGCTTCACCCAGTGGGTTCTTGGCTCCAGCTGTTAAAGTTTAGGTGATTGATTACAAACCTTGTCTCCTCCGAATTTCACAAGGTATTCCTTCAGTTATGAATAATGAGGAGGGGGTGAGGAGGGCGCAAGGCTGGGGCTGGGAAGGAGGCATCCTTTCTTCCTCTCCTTCCCCTCCCATCTTCCCAAGCAGGTCCTGTTCAGGGGTTAGGTTGGAATGCTCCTGGCTTGTTCACTTGTTGGCAAAAGTGGTACGGTCCAGGGGTCATTCAACTAGGTCTCTCTCATACTTAGCCCCTGCTGCTTCAGCTCCAAGCAGTTCCTCCGGACGGTGCTTAGTGCACAGACCTGTCCTGTGTCTTTACCTCCTCCTGGCCCTGAGTTTCCTGCTGGGCATTAGCCTGTTGTCTCTGGTGGTGGTGAAAAGTGAGTGTGAGGTGGGGTTGCATGGGAAAGGGGAAAGGGGAGAGGGGAGGGGCATGGCCCTATGTCCCCATACTTGCCTGGGTACCAGGGCTGGGATCCTCTCAGTTCCACCATTGCCTCCAGTTCAGACCCCCATCATCCTATCCAGACTGCACACTACACTCACCTGATCCTATCTCATACCTTCTCCCAGGCCCTAACCACTGCCCTAGGGTGAGCCTCTGCCTGGCTCCTCCAGCCCTTCACCCTCTCTGATTCTTGTCCTGCTTTTCTTTCTGACTTTCCTTCTTTCTGTCTCTTTCTCTGACTTTCTCACCCTCTTTTTAATTCTTCCTCTCTCTCTCTCTCTCTCTCTCTCTCTCTCTCTCTCTCTCTCTCTCTCTCTCTCTCTCTCTGTCTCTCTCTCTGTCTCTCTCTCTCTCTGTCTCTCTCTCTGTCTCTGTCTCTCTCTCTGTCTCTGTCTCTCTCTCTCTGTCTCTCTCTCTCTCTGTCTCTCTCTCTGTCTCTCTCTGTCTCTCTCTCTCTCTCTCTGTCTCTCTCTCTCTCTCTCTCTTCCTCTCCCTCTCCCTCTCCCTCCCCCCGTCTGTCTGTGTCTGTCTGTCTGTCTGTCCTTTAATGTTTCTGTCCTCATTTCTCCATCTCTATTTCCCTACCTCACTCCCCTTATTCCTTCACCTCTTCCCCTGACCGGCTCCAGGCTGAACCCCAGGTTTCCCCTCTCCTTTTTCTTTTCCCCAGGCTCTGATTTTTCTGAGCAGCTGAGGAGTGTGAAGAGTGAGCTGTGGAATGGTGAGGTGGAGGAATTGGGGATTGGGGGTGGTAGTTGTGAGTCTAGGAGGGGCACAAAGGAGCTGTGGGGAAAAGTCAGGCCTGAGTAGGGGGTCAGGATTCAATCTCTGGACACCTGGGAAAGAGAGGGGAAGGGTCACCTCTCCTCTTTCCCTCTTAGCCTTTTTTTCTAAAACATTTTCTCTCTTTCTGTATCTCCTCTGTATCTCTGCCTGTCTGTCTCTCCACTATATTTTCCTCTCTCTTTTTCTTTCTCTTATTTCTCATAATAATGCTGACTATACGAAACATTATGATTTGCAATACATTTTACATAGAGTTTCTCATTTGATCTTTTTTTTTTTTAATTTTTGGTGAGGCAAACAGGGTTAAGTGACTTGCCCAGAGTCACACAACTAGTGAGTGTTATGTGTCTGAGGCCAGATTTGAACTCAGGTCCTCCTGACTCCAGGGCCAATGCTCTACCTAGCTGCCCTCATTTGATCTTTATGTATTTCACATTTACTTGTTTGTGTATATGTTGACTTCCCCCAGCTAGAATGTAAGCCTCTTGAGGACAGCGATTGTCTGTTTTGGTCTTTATCTTTATATCCTCATTGGCTAGCACTTAGTAGGGACTTAAATACTTATTGAACGAACGAATGAATGAATGTCTCTTTCTGGATCTCTCAGTCTCTAGCATCCTCCAGAAAGAGCAGGAAAATACAGAGCAACTGGAGATTAAGATCATTAAAATAAAGGCAATCAGTGATGCCTGTGATGCAATGGTGAAACAAGTTAGTAAAGGTACTTCTTATCCCTCCGCACCCAGTGCTGGGTGAGAGTGAAGGTGGGGGATGGGGGTGGCAGGGTGGAACTGCCCAGTTTGGAGGAGGGGAGAGATACGGGGCCCCAGAGGTTAGGGAAAAAGGAGGGTCTTGGCTAGGGCGATGGGTCTCTGGGGGAGACATCTCTGGGAGAGGCGTATCTGAGGAATAGATAGCTTTGGGAGAGTTATCTCTGAAGGGCTGTATCTGCCTTTAGGGTCTTCTCTCCATCATCTCCTTCTCTTTTGCAGACCTGTCAAGCAAGAGAGAGATCTTGAATATTTTGAATGCTAAAGTAGAAAAACTGGAGAAGGCTCAAAAATCAGGTTAAGCGGGGAGAAATCCTTTATGCAAGGGGGGAGAGAGGTGCAGGAGAAGACTCCCGAAGGGGAGCCTGTCTGATCTTGTGTCTTCCTCCCAGGACCAAATCCGACCCATTCAACTGGCTGAAGATCAGTCTTTCATCTGCAAGACTGGAAGATTTCTCTGACCTGTTTCCCTCCTGTGATCTGGGCGTTTTTGTGCACTAACAAATAGCATGTAACATGCTTTAAGATTCTCAAAGAAAAAGAGAAAAATCAGAATCTGGACATCACTCCCTCTCCTGCTAGTGTGTACTCTTCCAAGCTCACGTCTATGAGTGTACCTCAGTGTGTATAATTCTATCGGGTATGTCCATATGTGTCTTTCTGTGTCTGAGGATTTACAAATAGGGATGAGTGTGTAGGAGAGTAGGGCAGAGGTCACCTCCAGGTATAAGGTGATGCTGGCTGGTCCCAGAAGTTTCCTTTATACTAATGCCCTTGCCTCTTAGGTAGGCACTGGAGGAAGAAAAGACAGGTGGGTGAATTCTAATGCCCAGGGGTTTCCCAGTAGCTCAGTGGGGCCCCTGTTTTTCAGTGGCTTGACCCAGATTTTTAAATTTAAAAAATTTTTTTAAATTTCTATATTTTGTTTTTATATCATCTTTATTTCCCAATAATATTTCCCCAGCATCCAAGCTTGGCTTAAATGTCTATGTACTTCTTACATTTAAAATGTAAAATCATCATTATACAATCTTTTCTTTTTGGTCTGGACCTTTGATTTCATTGGTGGAAAGAATTTCTTGGTGAAGAAGCTCCCTCCGTTATTGCAAATGGACAACACACACAATACAGTTTACAAGCTATTTACTAAGTGAATAGATAATGCAGGGAAGAGTAGAGAACGTGTAATGTCTAACCAGTAACGTACCCTGAAGGAGACCAGGTTTAAATGATGTTGTTAAGGAGAGATGGCCCGGTGCTTTGGCAAAGGCAGGGGAGGATAGATGGACTGCCTTGGTACGCAGCAGGTACCTTTGTGATATCTTCCTTGAAGGCCTTCAGAATGGGAGAAGGAGGGAATAAGCATTTATTGAGCACCTACAATACTCTAGGCATTTTACTGAGTGCTTTACCCTTGAGGTAGGTTCTATTGTGATTCCCATTTTACAGTTGGGGAAACTGAGGCAGACAGTGGTTAAGAGGCTTGCCGAAGAAACACCTAGTAAGTGTCAGAGAATGGATTTGAACACAGGTCTTCCTGACTCCAGGCTCAACATGCTGTCTACTGCACCAACTAGCTAGCTGCCTTAATCTAAATTATTAACTAAACTGTTATGCAAATTCTGAAGTCAATTATGACTGTGGAATTTTGTTTGTTACTGAGGAAAGCATCAGTGGCATGGGGCATGGACCACTGGACTTGAAGCCAGAAAGATCTGAGTTGAAATCCTGCCTCACACACTTATCAGCTTAGAGAGAGAGGTCGAAAAATTTGCAGAATTTCCTCATGGCTTTGGAAATCTCCCACAAGCCGATTTTTAGTTATAATTTATATCATTAATAATAATAACTAGCATTCATATTGTGCCACCTAGCTGCCCCTGAGTTTCCTCAATTCTAAAATGGGGAAAATAAAAGTCCCTACCTCACAGGGCAGTTATGAGAATCAAATGAGATGTTTGTTAAGAGCTTAGCACAGTGCCTGGTATAGCGGGGGCTATATACTTATTCCCTTCCCTCTTAACATTTGGCCCACTCCTGCTCTCAGTCAGATCAATCCTCTGGTCAAGGGCTGGGGAAAGAAGCTTTTAAGTGGGTTAATCTAGGGCCTCTCACCTTTCTTGGTCACATCTTAATTCTATCAAAGTGAGGTCAAGGGGCAGCTAGGTGGCTCAGAGGATAGAGCACCAGCCCTGGAGTCAGGAGGACCTGAGTTCAAATCTGACATCAGACACATGATAGCTGTGTGATCCTTGGCAAGTCACTTAACCCCGATTGCCTCACCAAAACAAAAAAAGAAAAGTGAGGTTGAGAACTCCTTCCTGAACTCTTTAATTGAGATTTCCTCAAAGACAATGTGGTTTGGCCTTTGGTAAGAGGGAAAAGGGATTTAGTGTGAATCCTGGTTTTAGAATCGAGAGTTAATGAAAGACTGAAGAGATTTCTCATTCAGATCAGTCCAAAGACTTCCCTCATTCAGGCAGTCAACAAGCATTTAAGAAGCAGCTAGGGGGTGCAGTGGATAGAGTGCCTGATGTGGAGTCAGGAAGACCAGAGTTCAAATCCGGACTTCAGACACTTACTAGCTGTGTGACCTTGGGCAAGTCACTTAACCCCATTTCCCTCAGATTTCTCATCTATAAAAATGAGCTGAAGAAGGAAATAGCAAACTACTCCATGAAAAGTCCGACATGACTGAAACTATTGAACAACACCAGGCTGGTAGCAGTGTCAGAGTAGAGGAGGGGGCTTATAAGAGGGATGTCAGGAAGGCAAAATCAACAGGCCTTTGGGGGCAGGAGAGAGTGAGGAGTTGAGGAAGATACTTAGGTTGAGAGCCTGGGTAACTGGGAGGATGGTGGTACCCTCTACAGTAATTGGAAATTTAGGAAGGGGGAGAGTTTAGGGGGAAAGATGAGTTCAGTTTTGAACCTGTAGAATCTAAGATGTTTATGAATCTAAAATTGGAGATGTCCAATAAATAGTGGGAGATCAAAGGCTGGAGTCCAGGAGAGAGTTTGGGGCTGGACAACTAAATCTTAGAATCCTCTGTATTAGAGATGATAGTTGAGTCATGGGAGCTAAAGAAATCACCACTAAGAAAAAATACTTCCCTAAATATTTCCCTAATATTTCAGGGACCTTTGTCAGTTTCCACAATGGGTTGGCATGGAATGAATGGTTCGAGATCTGCATTATTTGGAATTCCCAAATACATGAGATCACAGTCCAAATGTAGTATTCAATGGAACAAAAAGATACAGCTGAAAACCATCACTTGTCTGGATGCCTAACTTAACTTGAAACCTCACTTTCACCAAAGGAATAACTGTTCCTCACAACACTGCACAGAGGAGGGTTGAGGGCCATTCCCGCTCAATATAAAGTCGTACATGGGGGAAAGGGATGGTCTCACCTTTTCAGTGAGTATTGACCCCACTCTGAGTTCTTAGGGGTCACTTCCTGAATGCAAACCCTGGAGCCTGGAGATTGTCTTGGGGGGATGGTTTCCCTCAGTGTTCTCCATGTTGTCAACTCTCTCTCCATCCCCATATTTCCCCCAAAGTCCATAGCACCAAGAATTTACATTGAAAATTTCCCACTCAGGCTGCATTTCAAGAGGAATTTGGGTTTTCTGTGTGTCTTGGCATCCTTGGCTTCCCTAGAAACTTGGATGCCTCAAATTGCAGACGCCACTGAGACAAGGGGAGTATTTCCTGCTTACGTGTCATAGGCAGTGACTTCCATCCAGTATCTCCTTGTGGCAAGCTGACTTTCCCTAAAGTCTAAATCAAATGTGCTTCTCAGACACAGTGCGCTTCAGGCCTCTTGTAAAAGCGTGCCTGACCTGTGGGTGTTGGTCTGACCAGCCACAATTGGACACACTGTAACTCAATTCTAGCACAGTGACTTCATTTTATTACTTTTTTAAAAAGATGTTTCTTTCTTTCTTTTCTTTAGCTAGCAATGTGGTTAAGTGACTTGCCCACAGTTACACAGCTAGTAAGCATTATGTGTCCGAGGCAAGATTTGAACTCAGGTCTCCTGAATCCAGAGCTGATGCTTTATCCACTGCACCACAGAGCTGCCCCCATTTTAGTCCTTTTTGAGAAGGAAGGACGATAACTCACCAAGCAAAAGCAGTATACAATTTAATTGTCCATTTGGCAATTCCCTTTGTAGACAATTCCTCCTGAACCCCTGCATGTTGGGTCCTTGCCTGGTGCCACCCAGGAAGAAATGACAGTGACATTTGAAAGAATCAGTCAATATTTATTAGGCACCTATAATGTGTCAGGGCACTCTAGTAGTTGCTAGGGATATGAGTACAAAGAAATAAAACAAGGTCAGCCTTTAAGGGGCTTGTATTCTAAAAGGTGTGTGTGTGTGTGTGTGTGTGTGTAGGTGGAGTGTGGAGATAAAACTGCCAAAGTAGCAGTTATAAATGTGAGCATGTTGGGAGTGTATCTGTAACCGTCCCTAAATGTGAGGAGGCTGCAACTTCATGCCTTCTCCAGATCAAAAGCTGGGGCTGCCCTTTGGTGATGGTTCTGATCCGAGATGAGCAGCCCAGCTGTCTGTCTCAGGGCACGTGGGGAGGATAATATGATCCCTCCCCACCTCATGTATAATCCCCCACCTGTTGCCTCTAACTCCTGACCTCCCGTTCTCCAACACCCTCAAGAACCCATCAAACTTCCTAGGCAAGGAAGAAAAAAAACAAAACCCATTTATTATGCACCTGCGATGTGCCGGGCACTGCGCTGAACACTTTACAAATATTATCTCATTTTAACCACAAACAATAGACAGATAGGTGTTATCATCATCCCCATTTTACAGGTGAGGAAATTGAGTCAGACAGAATTTAAGTGACTTGCCCAACATTACATGAGTACTAAGTGTCTGAGGCTGGATTTGAACTCAGGTCTTTCTGACTCTAGGCCCAGCTCTCTATTTACTATAGCACCTATCTGTCCTGTAGGGATGTTTAGGTCCCTCTTTCTGTCTAGTTGTGTGACTGTGGGCAAGTTATTCATTCATTCATTGAAAGACAGCTTAGGTACAATATACACATAATACTGTATACGGATATATACAATAGTGTATAAAATACTGGACTTAGAGTTAGAAAGACCTGAGCTTGAATTCTGCTTCTGATCCTTTCTAGCCCTGTGATCACAAGCAAATTATTTAACCCTCTTAGCCTCAGTTTCCTTATCTGTAAAATGGGGAGAAGAATAACACCTACCTCCCAGGGTGGTTGTGAAGATAACATATGTAAAGGATGTTGCAAATTTTAGAGCATGTAAATGTTCTCTATATTGCTCATTTGTATTGAATGGTTGTGTGTGTGTATGTGTGTGTTTGCTCAAGTGTGCACACGCCTGAGTTTGGGATTCAGGGAGCGGTGGAGAAAAAAAAACAACAACCTAGGATTGTGCCCTTACAGCTTATAAGGAGAATTTGGTGGGGACACCCTGGCTCATTTCCCCATTTTCTACTATTTCAGGAAACAGCTGATTGTCCAGTATTACACACAATTTACTCAAATTGCCTAGAATGGTGTGTAGTAAACAGTTTGGCCATCAGATGGCGCTGTGGCTACCCATCTGTACGCTACTTCCCCATTCCTCATTCCTTGTGTTTTCTTCAGAACCTGTTGTTGTCTGATAGGTCCCCAGGTCCAACAGAAATCGAGCTCTCCTGTTCTGGAATATGCTCCATAGTTATCATAAATACAAAATCCTTCTCATCAAGTATTCGTTTCCATGCCCCACTCCATTCATAAAACTCAGCAATTCACTGTTTTTTTTCTTTCCTTAAAAAAAAAAAAGGAATTTTATTGACATCATCTGTTTTTACATTTTCCTTTCTGAATACATCCCTCTCTCCTCCCTCTCCAGCAAACTATACTTTGTAACAAAGAATGAAAAAGAAAGAGGGGGAAAATGCAGCTCAGCAAAACTAAACAATACATGTATAATAATAACAGTCGGCATTTACATAGTACTTTGAGATTTGGGGAGCCCTTT